GAAAGCCTCTACCGCAGTCATCCGAAGTCAGAAGACATCAATCTTTTGTACCTAGTCTATTTTGTCTTTTCTTTACACTCTCTATTGTCCAGTATGCCTTGCATGGCTACTTCTAGAGAGTTATCTTTTGTAATTCTTGAGTCTCTATAAATAGAGCTCACTTGTTCTGAATCAAACACACATCTTAAAAGTATATTTACTACTTATCTCAGCAATTCTCTCTTCTCTCACTTCTCACTATCTTATCTAATCACAATCTCTCTTCGGAGCAAGTCAGCTATGACTTAATTACTAAGTTTGATCACATCTATTAACTTGGTTTGAATGCATTCCTAATTATGAATCAACTTATGTGTATACTTGATATAACTTTATAAACTGCTATCTTTTTCTATTCTTTACTTTCCACAACTAATACTCTAACTATCTAATATTAATATTATTGTTGAGCTTATAGATCCTTGAGATTAACTATTCCGCAATATACTTGTTCTAACCTTTTGTTCAAGTATCTTAAGTTTTTCTCTCAACGAGGTGAACTTATCACTGGTGGTACTAAATCAGAAGAAGAACTTGAAGACGAAGTAGTCGGGAAGGATACCGTTGGCCCGACAGATCATCTCAAACGCCACCATCTTGTTGATGGCGTTATGAGTAAGCATCTGAATGCTACAACCGTTCTTCTGAAGAAATTCTTCCTGAAAATCGGTTAAGGGAAAGCGAAGCCCTACATCGAAGGTCTTCAGATAAACGCCGACCTTCCTCGGATGAGGCGATTAGCTCACAAAATCAACAACTGAAAACTCCACTCCGCCCGTCGGAGTAAAGCCATAAGTGTCTCGTAGAAGCTTGAACTCTGCAACGGAATTAGTAATGTCAGACTGATTCGCCATGAAGATGAAAATGAAAGAAGACGAGAAAGTCAAAGAAGAAAGAAAGAGTAAAGTGGGAAGCATAAGCAGAAAAGGAAAAAAGATCCCTCCTTATAAGGAAATAGGGAAAGCGGGGTATTCAAAATCCCTGATAGGTGATGTAGCCGCCTGGCATAATGTGCACTCACATCACCGAAAAAATCGAAGCGACGTTCGAACCCTAGCAGAGTGGATCCGATTGTGACCTAGCAGGTCTTCCGGAAACAATTGGATCCACTCTGTAGCAGCCAAGAGCCACCGCATCAAACAACCGAAGGACCAGGTCGCATCATATATCATATCAGATGTTATATATATATATATATATATATATATATATATATATATATATATATATATATATATATATATATATATATATATATATATATATATATATTTCACAAAATTGAAGTAACTGATATTTTATTTTATTTTTTCATAAAATTGAAGTTCCTGATTATCGTCGTTGTGTCTTTTACTTGGTATAAGTCATTGTCACTTGTTTATATTTAATATGATTGATATTTAAGTATGGCAAGTTGCAAGACTAGTGGCAACTTTTTTAGATTAAGATGATTACCAATTAATGAGCTTAACTGGTGCTCATTGACTATGACGATTAAATTATATATTTCTACCTCGTTTAGTTTACAATTTTATATATGATTCAAAACAAATACATGTTTTATATATGATTAAAAACAAATTATATATTATCAGTTTTCTTTTTTATAACAATTTAATAACTCTCATGTTTTAACTTTGAAACTTATAAAAAAAAACTTTTTTAAAATGTAGACATCTTTTAATATAGAATGCTTTTTTTTCTCCATGCACAACAATATATGTATTAAAATGCTATAATATAAAACCCTTTATACATAGATTGTTGTCTATGAAGAAAAATTATTGTGTATGGATAATTTTTCTTAATTAAAAAATGTCCAAAATAAATTTAAGATCCTCACAACAAAAAACGTACCCTTTAGTGACGACAAAAAACATCGCAATTGATGCCACTTGTCGTCGCTAAAAGGTCGTCGCTATTACCTCCCAGCTAATACTCTTTTGTCGTCGCAAATATCGTCATCTCTAATACTTGTCGTCGCTAAATGGTCATTGTTGTCACTATTGTCGTCGTCTCTATTACCTTTCCAGACACCGGTCGGAGTTTTTCCAGCTTCTCTTTCCGGAATCGGTTGTCGTCGCAATTGGTCAGTGTCGTCCCTAAATGTGTTGCTACTAATGGTTTAAAAAAGCAATTCATTTATGATATTAATTTGTATATATATTATAAAATTATGTGTGAGACCTATGTATTAAATAAGTTTATTTAAAATAAAAACTAAATATAAAATTCTAAATATTTGAGAAGTTTGAATTTATAAGTTAAATGAGAAAATATTTAATTAGAAAAATTAAAGTGTTTTGTTTTCACTTTTAAATTTAAATAAATAAATAAATAATATTAATGAATCTTTAATTTAATAATTTTGAAATTAGAAGGAAAGTTCATTAATGAAACTAGTTATGAGACTCATATATAATATGGGTTAATAAATCCTTAATAAACTTCTAATATATCATCCATAAACTATCTAATAAATCCAAAATAACATTATCCATAACAAAAAAAACAAGAAATACTATGTTTCTACATGTTCCTCATTGTTGTTTTCCTCGTTGTTGACTTGGTTTTTAAACGAACGGACAATGTCTCCAATGGTCGTCACAAACGTTGGGTTTTGAAGAAAAGCATTCACAGTCGGCTTTGGAGGTTAATTGGTGGTGGCAATCGGCTTTGGAGGTCAATCGGCAGTGGAGAACAGTGGCGTCAGCAGTGATGTCACAAATCATAGTCGGAGAGACCCATTGGAGACGCTTGACAGATTATACGTCATATGGGATGAGGAAGCTGAACAAAAGGGGCAACCCTTTAGCAGCAATGCTAATAGCGGCGACATAGAGGCTATTAGCGGCGACAATCTGGAGGGAACTGAATGCGCCTTTTCTGGAGATTATCGACCATTAGATCGCGTGAGAATCGTAGGGCCAAGATTTCATCCAATGTAGGTCAATGGATCGACACCAATAGCAACGACATGTCGTCGTTAAATGTGTTGTCTCTATTGTCTTCCACAGGAACAAACCCTATCTGTTGGATCATGTTCCGAACCAAAGGTCAGGATCGAAAGCGGTGTATCTCCGACGGATCTCCGGTCCATACCTTTAGTGACGATATTGACGTTTTAGTGTCGACACCAAGCGTGGTTTGTCTGGTGTCGTCGCTAAAGTTCTTGTCGTCGCAAAAAGCGACCTCCCTAATACTTTGTATTCTAGTTATCCCTATCAAGCATAATATTTTTAAAAAAATGAAATTTACATGAGGTTACTTTATTGACAAACTATTACTTATCTTATGTTCTTAACTATTATTATAATGAACATTAATTAATTATTAATTATTTTTCCGGAATGACACTGGTCGTCTAATTGATCCGTATGTTTATATGGTTTTATTTTAAAATTATAATTTCGGCCCCTAACTTGAATATTTGAGTTTCGTCTGTTGATGGCTTAAGTTTTATTCCGACAGTTGTGTAATTTAAAAGTAGATCAAAAAATATGTTTGTTGTCGTTCTAAAGATTACATATAAGACCATCTGTTATAGTCACCACTAACCACTATAGTGGTAAATATCACATCACCACGACACACAACCACAAAAAGGTTGGTGTACCCACCACTAAATGGATTAAATATTTAGTAGCAAAAAAATAAATTATATATATATATATATATATATATATATATATATATATATATATATATATATATATATATATATTAGAGAGAGATAGAGAGAGAAAAAAATCCACTAAATGTTGGCTTTCGTCGTTTGCACCACAATCCACCACGACCACTAGCTACCACTAAGGAGTGAGATGATGTGCACTATAATGGTTAGTTGTCACGTAGATCATGAATACATTCGTTATAAGTATACCAGATGACCTAACGTAGCAGATATCCAATTGTATTTATTAAAAATAAGACATGACCTATGCATGTAAAAGAGAATTCTATGTAATCATCATCACTCAATTATTTTAACAAGATCAACGTTTCTTAACAATAATTGTTGTAATCCCTTCCAAGAAGGTTTTCATACGGCCAAATTACGGATAGATCATTATATACCTAAATATGCGATTATTCTTGAAAACGACCATCAATTTAGTAACTTGTGAAGATTTAGAGCCACAACTTTGCATATAAACAAACACTGCATTTGATTTTAGTTAAAATACCTTGAAGTGGATGAATGTCAGAATAGACAACGTAAATAGGACAAAGAAACTTGACAATATATCTCACCTAAAATATCAAGAAAGTTAGGTTAGTCCACTTCACTAGCATGAATGTTCTAAACTAACAACTAACTAGATGGTAATGAGTTCAATGTGGTGATAAAATAATTATTTGTCCTTCAAAAAAAATATTAATAATGATGGAAGATCAAGACATACATTATGAACTTTATGCATATGGAAATAAGCAAGGTTCAAAATTCGATGTAGCTTTCGGCTTTCACAGGTTGACGATGAATAACCACTTATTGGGACGTTATGCTCAAAGTCCAACTAATGACATGTCAAAATGAAATAGGTTGTATGTAGTAATATTTTTATCTGTAGCCAATGAGAGAACGTGCAGATTTGTAACACCTAACATTTGCAAAGATATCTTTATACCTTTTTAGCTAATAATCCAATAATACAAATAATCAACCAAAGATTTTTCTAATACAACGACAAAAATACATCGGATCACAATTTTTAACATGATAACATAGAGTATGATCATCAATAATGCATTACAATTCAAAGGATTTTTATCAGTATATAAAATATCCACTAACTTTAAGCTATTATGGGCAAAATGAGTAAATATGTATATAAGTATAATATTACATGAAATGAAAGGGTAAAATATGATATTAAACTCTACCTATGTATAGATGTATATAATTATAAAACTGATGGTAATAAAAAGTAAAAACATTAATGAATGAATGAATTAAATTAATATTTAAATCCTGCTTTGACAGGAATACCAGCGTTACGCACCCAAGATTTTGCATCCATAAAGGGATCAGGAGTAAAATAGCCAGCATATTTCTTATCTTTGATGACCTTAAATCCTTTCCATTTGACCCTATCATCGGTGTCAGAGCCAGGTCCCTTGTTGTAAAACTCTCTGAACATGCACGTCTTGTGATTCTTTGTTTCAAGCCATGTGCTCCATCCTTGTGGTTGAATGAGATCGCCGATGTTGCATTGCATCACCACCGCTGTAGCATCTGGCTTCCATGGACGACCGAGGTAGCTCTTGGTTTCTCCCTTGGCCGAATCTAGTTCTTTGTCTGCTTTGATCTTACACTTCTGAAGCACTACACCTGCAGCTTCTACATGTTTCATTTTTCCGTCTGCTGTAATATAACAGCTTTGGCCATTTTCTGGTTTCCTAATATAGATCTCACAATCTTGGAAGAAAGCCCTCCCGCTTCCAGTGATAAAGTCCACAGTTCCATAGATGGAACAATTCTTGTAGAACTGGTCGTGGGCATGATAGTATATAGTGTTTTGGTAACCTTCAAAGCTACAATCCACCATGATAGTATTCGGGGCTTGGGATCGGAATGCCACCGCTTGGTTCCCTTCTGGACCGGCCGTGTTTCTAAATCCTATACCTCTTGCCATGAACCGTTCGCCTTCCGCAACAAAAGTTGCGGTCTGGGTGGCCCCGGTCTGTCCTTTTTCTTGGCTCTTGTCACCGGTGATGATGGTCTTGTCACGACCATCGCCATACATATAAACATTGCATTGGTTCTTTTTCACAACGATCTGACCCTCCTTATAAGTACCAGCCTTGACGTATATGAAATATCTTCCTTTGTGATTTGAAGGATACCCATCAAGGGCCTGTTTGATGGTCTTGAAATCGCCGCTACCATCTTGAGCCACCACCACATCGGGTGTCAAGGTTGATCCCTTTTTAAGCTTTTTAAGTTTTTCAGGTTCGGGAGTCTTGAAGTAGTCTTGGCTTGTGTATTTTTTAAACATCCCATGGCCTTTGTCTTTGTCTTCTTCTTCATCATCCTCGTCCTCGTCGTCGCCACCACCACCGAGAAGGGTACGGTCGGCAGCAGAAAACCGAACTGGACCCTCATCCTCCTCATCAAGATCAAGAAGCCTGCGGTGTCCTGCGTAATGGAAATTACCCATGTCAACCCCAAACTCCATGAGGATATCAGAGATATAGTAGACGATCTTTTGCGTATTAAAGGTGTGTTTGTTGGCATCGTCTAACTCCTGTTTCATTTCCTTTCTGAGAGTTTCGTCGTTGATCTCATCGACACATGTGGTTTGGTATGCACGGATAGCCGTGAGCCAAACAAGCATGGGGTCGGCCTGCTCTCCCAAAGTCGCTATTTTGCTCTTCGTTGCCACATTAAGAACCTGATTCAATGCTTCCGAGGCGTCACCTAATAGTTTCTCACAGTTCTTAAGTTCCGAGCCACCAGACTTGGCGTATTCAGAAGCCTTATCAAGCCCCTTTTGGATGCTATGGAAGCTAGCAAATATGTAATCCTTCTTGGTGGACGACGAGTTCTTGGACACCTCGCTTAATGCCTTTTTGCATGCGTCTTTGTACTCTGTTGGTTTACAGATGATGCAGACTGCCTTGGTGTTTATCAGCTCATCATCCTCCAAATATCCATTTCTAGCCACCAAAGCCACGATACAAAGAATAACAACAATCGAGAACCCTAATGATAACACGGCTTGTACTAAATGATTAGCCATCTTCAATTCAAATATTAATATATCCTCTTACTTATATTATTATTAGTATTGGGGACAAACAATAACCAAAAAGATTTGCTTGTTCCGCATGCATCAATGGAACAAGCAAACTTATTGGAGATGGAGACGGAGATTGAGCTTCACTTCTATTCTCTCTCTTTTTTTTTTTCCCTCTATTTGTATCCTTTTCTCCTGTCAAATTTATTTATTTCAAACGAATGAAGCATGTGCTAGAGAGGATAAATCTTATGTATTTTGCTACTTTTCCTAAAAACATTGAATGTATATTGCAACTCTTCCTAAAATTAGCAAAGGCCGTCCTTCTCTTTAGTTTTCCATCAACCCTTAAGCATCTCCCCTTTTTATGCTCTTCCATATACCATTTCGAGGCCACTTCTTTTCCATTTTATTATTAGTTTCACTTGCATCCATTGGAATATATATATATATATATATATATATATATATATATATATATATATATATATATATATATATATTTTATTATTAGTTTCACTTGCATCCATTGGAATATATATATATATATATATATATATATATATATATATATATATATATATATATATATATGATTGTTTTAACTAACTAATTAAAATTAGTAACAAAATTTTACATTTTTTCCTCTTAGATTCGGGTTATATATGAAGATTACTAATTTTGGAACTACTCGTTAAATGCTAATCATCAACTTATTTGATTTGTGTCTTTTATATCGATATTTTTATACGGAATCATATTCGTTATTGATGGGCACCAACATAAAGAATGAAACGGAAAATACTAATAGCTAGGTATGTTCACCAAATTGCAAAACAAATGAAAGGATAAAATAAAAGTTTTTAATTCTTAATTATAGGTACGTAGCATAATAACTGAACTTATACTAGTCCACTGTATATATATTGATCAAGCAACCTTTTTCTATTAGTTGGAGTTTGTAAAACATGCATATCGTATGTTTCACCTAATCAGGTTAAATAAATAATAATTTCCCTATAAATATCTTCAGAACAAGATAGACAAAATTCAGATATTTACGCCTCTTTTTTCATTTAATTATGCCAATAAGAACTGCAGCAATCAAATATCTAAATTCTCATGCATATAATCTTAAGAATATTTATATATATTTAAACCAACAACTTAAGTACACATAAGTTCAAAGACAATTATTTATGTCTAAATGTACATAGCTTAATCAATATAAAATAAAAATATTGACAGTAATTGTTTAAATGTAGGAATAATAATTCAGTTTTTGTAATTTTCTAAAAAAAATAACAAAATAAAAATAGCAGAAGTACAAAAGATAGAAAAAGAATATATTCGCGTTTGTGAGATTATCCATGCTCTATATATCGTTTCCTTTGGTTAGTTCATTTCATCTTCATCAACACCATTCTTTTCGAAACACCCTCTATCTCCTCCGGCCGGCGGCGACATGAAATTACGTTCATTTCTTTCCACCTGCTCCGCCACCATCTGCACAGCTACTGACGACGACACGACCACCATAACACATCGACAAAAGTATGGAGCACCGCCAGGTAAACTCCTATTCTCCGACACAAGCAGTAGCATCTCCGATACTACCAACACAGCCACCAGTCCATCACTCGACACAAGTTACAGTTACAGTAGCAGCCTCCACAGCAACCTCTCTCTTCAAACTCTACCCTCCGTCCCTTCCCTCCAGAAACTCTCCCCTGATACTCTCAACCTCGCCGTCTCCCATGGCTACCTAACCTCCCTCAAACCCTCCCCACCCGGACGAGTCAACTACCTTGCCGTCCATAACCACCTCCTCTACGCCGCCTCCGGCAACCTCATTCACGTATTCGATACGACATCTTTCGCGCTACTGGATGTCTTCAGCGTCAACGACTCTTCGTCTGGTTCAGTTAAATCTGTTGCGTTTCACAACGGGAAAGTTTTTACTGCTCATCAAGATAGTAAGATCCGAGTATGGAAATTAACAGAAAGCAAACGTCACAAACACGCCGCGACGCTGCCGACGATGGAGGATCGGTTGCTGAGATCGATTTTAAATAAAAATTACGTGAATGTCCGTCGTCATAGACGGCGGTTATGGATCGAACACCACGACGCCGTCACTGGACTAGCGATGATAGATAATCAGCTAATGTGTTCGGTTTCATGGGATAAATACTTAAAAATCTGGAAAACGTCAAACTTCCGATGTGTGGAGAGTATCAAAGCACACGACGACGCAATCAACGCCGTCGTGGTGGCAACAGACGGCACTATTTACACCGGATCCGCCGATCGCCGGATTAAAGTATGGGGGAAACTGTTTGGCGAGAACAAACATGGACTCATGGCCACGTTGGAGAAGCACAAGTCAGCTGTCAACGCACTTGCTCTAAACGACGTCGGATCAGTGCTGTTTTCAGGCGCCTGTGACCGTTCAATCTTGGTGTGGGAAAAGGAGGACAGTGCAAACCATATGGCGGTGACCGGAGCGTTGCGGGGCCACAGTAAAGCAATACTTTGTCTCATCAACGTCTCAAATTTATTATTCAGTGGGTCCGCTGATCGAACGGTTAGGATTTGGCAACGTGGGTCCCATGGGAAGTTTTGTTGTTTGACCGTATTGGACGGCTATACAGAGCCCGTCCGATCGCTGGTGGCGGATACAGATTCTTCAGAAGAATCTGTACCTGTATCAACCGTAAAAGTATTTAGCGGAAGTTTTGCGGGTGAAATTAAGGTATGGAAGGTTGAGGTCTCGAATATTGCAAGTCCGATGTCAAGTCATCTATCTAAACTCAGACTATGATCATAAAACCGTGTTCGTTTTGGTTATGAGATATTATCATTGTGTGAAATTCAAATACAAAAAAGTTTGAGAATTGTTTTGGATTAATTTAGTTATTTACATGTAGAACGAAGAACTGAAAAGTGGATGAGATGTACATAATTGGTGATTATTTTTTATGTTACCAATTAATGAATTGTTTAATTTGTATTTAAGGTTTTGTTTTGGGTGAAATTGACAAGAGTTGATTACATATCACGTGATTCCATGTTACCTTTGTTCTTGTTTGAATACCCAATTTTCGAGTGATTTTGCTAGGCTTTAAATGTCACAACAATATACATACATATTTCAAACATGTACATACATGTATACATAAACATTATATTATATTATATACTAAATTAGACCGAAGTGCATGAATATGACATGGGATTATGAGCAATAAATCTATAAAAATGATAATTTAGATTTTGATTAATTAATTAACTAATCACGAAGTGATTGGAGGAGCGGAAATAATTATGTGTGTAGGATATGATATGTAGAGTGCACTCAAACTCGTATAGTAGTCTACACCTTGCATGGATTTAATATAATGTTACGTGATTTTCTAAGTTATATATCTCCTTGATAACAACTATCAAATTTTGGACTTATTGTCCATTACAATAAACATTGTTCATGTTATAAGCTGGTACAACTAGTTATGCTTATTGTACATTGTACAATAATTATTAAGTAAATTACCTTTTTGTCCTTTGTGTTTGATTTTTACTTTCATTTGAGATCCAAAAACAAGATTCAAAGTTTCAAACCATACGCAAGAATGGGACAAATGTAGCATACTATAATGTTTTCAGATTTAAAATTCTAAGTAAGTACGTAATAATCATATATACTTCATGATGTTTATTTAATTTGACAACCTAACCACGGATTTTGACATATTTTAATGACTGGCTTTTAGATATATTAGCTTGATAGTTAGTAAATATTATATCCCATACTAACGGATGCGGATATCATTATTATTATTCCGGTTTAAATATAAATTCAAATTGTTTTGGCAAAAGATCATAAAGAATGAGACAAATGTAGCATAATATAATTGTATGATATTGGTATAAAAGCCACAAATAATGGAATTAAATAAATACACACACTTCAACACATAAATTGAGCAACTTGTCATGTGGAACATCTTTCATAAGTCAACAAACCTTAAAGATTTCCCATTTGCTTTTTAGGGTTATATTTTCAAATCTAAAAGCCTGGATTTCCAAAAGTATAAATAAACATATATGTCATTTAAATAATATTATAACAGGTTTATTATTATTTCTTTGTATTCAACTCAAATTAGTCAACACTGTGTGGAATAATACGTATACACACTTAATCAGTTAATTAGCAAACTATAGTACATACATAGTTTTGAACATTTAAAGATACATGACTATGCATAAAATTATTATATACCTTTTATGACTAAACTTATGTTATTTGATTACAAACTTTTTATATGTTCGTGTTCCCCTGTTCCTAAACTTTGTAGTTCAGATTATGTTTCCTAATTTCTTTTCTAATGTTAATTATATTTAAGTTTGTCATGCATATACATTACTACTACTAAAATTATTACATTTAAGTTTGTTATGCTTATACACAAATTAAAATTAAAATTTTCTTTATTTTAAAGCAACTTTGAGTATAGTTGTATTTTACTGTCATGTGCTAGTAGGGTTTTATATGTATGGTCAACCATCAATCATGAAATCGTGTATTAGACTTTTAGACTGTAGTTAGAATTTATTCGAGTGGTATCATAAATTGCATGTTCTTTGACTAAATAATGTTATATGAAATGGTAGGGATATGAGACCATAAAATATTAGGAAATTATCAAATGGGAACCGAAACAATTAAATTATATTTAATAATTTATAATTATATTTAATCAATTAAATGAATAATATCATCATGTAATATCTTGATATTAATTTTGTCAAAACCCTTCAATTTTAATTATAAACCTTTAATATTTTGTGTCGATTATTTATATAAAATAAATTATATAAAACTATAAGTTATTATATAAAAACATAATATTTTAAGCTTAAAAATAAATAAAAATTTTCATTTGGTATTATTTATTTCACAACTCATTTGTTATTTTTTTCGAGGATGAATATTTTTT